GTGTCACAAAATTTCTTTACTTACTTGGACTTCAATTCTTGTCCAGTACCTATCCACCAAGGCATGTTGTAGGAAACCACAAATAGAAACATGATATTGGCACGGTTGCTATAAGGCAACATTTGCTGCTTTACGCAGTATCTTATGTTTTTCTGGATTTTTTTTTTTTTTTACATTACAAATTCTACCACTAATCATATTTTCCTCATTCCTTTGGTCAACCAGAAGTCTGGAGTCAAATCTGCAACTCACCTTGTAGTGGATTGAACTGTGTCCCTTGAAAAGGCATGCTCAAAATCCTAGTAGCTGCAAATGGAACTCCATTTGGAAATAGGGTCTTTGCTGATGTAATTAAGATAAAGTCCATATTGGATTAGGGTGGACCCTAGATACAATTGCTGATGTCCTTATAAGAAAACAGGACACGGAAACTCAGAGACGACACATGGGGGAAGAAGACCATATGAAGACTGAGGTAGAGATTAGAATGGTACAGCTACAAACCAAGGAATGCTGGAGATTGTTAAAAGCCACCAGAAGCTAGAAAGAGGTAAGCTTCCTTACTTAAAGCTTTCTTAAGGAGGCTGCGACTGCTGATTTCAGACATCTAGCCTCCAGAAGGCTGAGAAAATAAATTTCTATTGTTTTAAGCCACTCAATTTTTGGTAATGTGTTATGGCAACTGTTGGAAACTAATAGAAGTTTTGGTACTGATAACTGGCACGACTATACCAAACTCCCAGAAGTGTAGAAGTGGCTTTGGAATTGGATAATGGGTGGTAGTTGGAAGAATTTTTGAAGCATTTATAATAGGAAAAATCTAGATTGCCTTAAAGAGATTGTTGGTAGAAATATGAACATTAAAGAGATTGCAGTAAGAGCTTAGAAAGAAGGAAGAACTGTAGAGAAAACTTCTATCGTTTTAGAGAATGTCTATATTATCATGAACAGAATGTTGATAGAAATATAAATGTTAAAGGTAATTCTGGTGAGGTCTCAGAGGAAATGATAAACATGTTATTGGACCCTAGGAAAAAGGCAACCCTTTTATAAAGTGGTAGAAACTTTGCAGAATTATCTTCTACTGTTGGGTGGAAAGCAGAACTTGAATATTGAGCTGAGATTTCCAAAGTATGGAAGGCAGAGCCTGGTTTCCCTTTGCTTCTTATAGTAAAATATGACAGGAAAGAGATAAATGGAGGAAGAAACTACTAAGCAAAAACAGAACCGGAACTTAATAATTCTGAAAATTCTCAGGCTCCAAATCACAAAAAATGGAAAGCACATACTGGAAGGAACATCAAGAATGTTGCTACAGAGATTAGGCATGTGAATGTGACCCATGGATACAATCGACCTTCTCGGTGAAGCCAGGAATACACGAGAATTTATGCAGGAAAACACTGGGGAGGACCTTCTTGTCTGATAGCTTAGACCCTCATAGAGTACACAGGAGACCCAAAAGTTTCTTGAGAAGGTTATACCAGCAGATATACATTTACTCTTGGCCAAAAAAGGGAGAGACAGAATGAAAAAAAGACTGCCAGAGTTCTCGAATTTTATATGGTTACCAATGTGTATTATCCTTCAAGGAAAAGAAAGAATGACTCACGTTATTCCCATAGGCTGAATTGGGTCTCCCCAAAATTCATATGTTAAAGTCCTAACCCTCAGTAGCTCAGAATATGCCTATATTTGAAGATAGGACCTTTAAAGTAATTAAGGTAAAATGAGGTCATCAAATATAACTGATGATCTTAGAGGAGCTTAGGACACAGGCCCACACAAAAGAAAGGCCATGTGAAGACACGGGAAAGATAGTCATTTGCAAACCAAGGAGAGAGGCCTCAGAAGAAACCAATTCTGTCAACATCTTGATGTTGGACTTGTACCCTCCAGAAATGTGAGAAAATAAATTCCTGTTGCTTAAGGCATCCAATCTGTGGTATTTTGTTATGGTAGCCCTAGCAAACTAACACATGGTATAAGTGAGGAGAAGGGTCCTATAAGCCAGGTCCTAGCCAAGATAATTATCAACACTATTTTCATTGCAACTTTCCTTCATCCGTACTCACTTCCACTATTCCAAGGGAACCATGCCTCCTTCTGACAATGAGTGTTATGTCTTGTCCCTTAGACTCCTAATGGGCAGGAATGATGCTATTACTTTCGTATCACCCAGAAAACTTGCACTATGTATAACAAAAAGGCTCATCCAGTGCCTGAGTATAGATTTATAAGTTCTCTAGACCTTCATTTGAATCAGAAGTTCTTAACTTTATGGAATCCCTGAGTGCAGGAGTTAATAAATGGATTTTAAGAGCTTGTCCACAGCTTGCATCAAACTCTCAAAGGGACTCCTAGCACTAGAAGGTTAAAAAACACTTAAGCTTTGATAATGGCTTTTGTTAAACCCTTCCCTCCATGCTGATGTTATGTAGGTCAGCTCATATGCAGTCATGCAATAAGCTCTTCATTATTCAAAATTCTCTCCTTACATTTAGACACTGGATAGGCTTCTAAATCTGAGCTACAGCTCCATTTGTTAAGTGGGTATTGCTGTAGGTTTATTGTCCTCAGCTTCATGAGCTGTTTTTCACAAATGACAACTTCAGAAACAATGAGTTTGGATACCTGCCCACAAACATTCCCAAAATAAAGCCATACTTAAAAGACATCGTAGATTCAAGGTCCTTTTATTTTTTTTTTCAAAAATTCCCTATATTCTATTTATAAGAAATACATGGAAAAAAAGAAATACAGTGGATCATTTTAACCATGTCATAGATTAATAAGACCTAAAGAAAACATCCACTTATACCAGAGTCAAAACTCTCAAGCTTTGTCACCTACAAATGAACCCTCTAGGTACATATTTACACTTAATGTATAAGTCCAGTTTACTTTGAACAAATTATTTTTTATGTTAACATAGGTTTCTATAAGAAATTTCATTTTGGTCACTTTATAGAAACATATATTTACCAATTTTAATATTAGAAAAAATATTTTTGGTGGTCACAAATCTCTTTTCCATCACCCTCCAGCTAAAACTTTATCTACACTCTGTTGATGCAATCACCTGAAAATAAATATCATAAAACTATCTCAAATAAATGGGGAATGGTGTTAGACTAAGGAGTTAACATTTGGGGTCCCAGAGAAAATTTGCTCTAGCTAACTGGGCAAATCTTGAGAAATGCTTGTGCTACATACCCTGCAATAGCCCCACCACACCCGTGGCCCTTAGCAGCTGCTGGAGAAATGGTGCCTGTGTCTCCCAGACCCAGACGAGCCCAGAGGCAGAGGAGAAGCAAAGTCAAACACAGCCTACCCCTTTGATCTTTCCTCTGAGGAGACTGCCCACACCCTAGACCTTGGCTGAGGAAAAACATCCCATTGTCTGAGGCAAAAGGACATCACGTCATTTCATCCTGTGCCTGGAAAGGCAGTTTGAAACAAGTCGTCCTGATTCTAAAGACGTGAGACAGTTCCCAGCTGCGCCATGACTTGTTTTCTGTTCCTAGGCAAATTGCCCAGTTTCCTCTGCTCCTAAATTTCCCCAACTGCAAAAGAGAGGTAATTCCTGTTACCTTTCTCTTGCAGTGTTCTGAAAAATAAACAGGGCCAATGCAGATAATATAGTGCTTGGAGACAGTTGTCTGAGGACAGATTTGCCTAGAGCTAGAGGAGGACTTCTATTTATTTTTGCTGTTGTTGTTTTCTTTTGGCCTGACACTGGCATAAATGTAGAAAATATAAATTAAATTACATTGCAACGACTCATCTCATGATGATGGAGCATTTACAGTACGCTAAGCATTGTGCTAGGCACATTGAGAATATAAAGGGGGCAAGTTTCCACCTTCAGTGAGCTCATAGCTCTCTCAGAAAGAGGTGTTATAGCATAAAGGTTGTATAACACATCATAGCCATTGCCGCGGTAGCTGGGTTGAAATCCCACTCTACAGCTGACCAGCTAGGGACCCTGGAAAAATGACTAAGCTTTACCAAGCTTCAGTTTTCTCGTGCAAACCACAATAGCTAATATGTGAGTGTGTCTGCTGAGTGGCAGGAGGTATTCTATGCACTGAAATTTCCTTAAAACTCAGAACAACCACCTGAGGTAAATGCTATTATTGTCCCTATGCTTGTAACCTCCATGTTATACATACGGTTGCCGACGCTTAGAAAGGTTATGTAACTTGTCCAAGGTCATACAGTTAGGAAGTGGTTAAGCCAGGATGCAAACCCAAGCTGCATGGCCTCAAAGTGTGCAGAATTTACCGCTGCACTACACTTCCCTCAAATGGAAGCATAGTAATACCTCATATAGACTTGTAAGGACCAACTAAAATAATGCATAAAAAATGTTAACATGGTATCGGCAGCATAATAAATGTGCAGTAAACAAAGAACTAGCAGAAGAGATCAGACATATACAAAAATCACCAGCATGTCAGGTCAAAAATAAATGCATGTCTCTAGGCTATTTCATGGACAAACTCCTTCTTGTAGACCAATCACTATACAGGGGGTTATAGTAGGAGGTTGTGCTGGGGAAGAATAGTCTGTGAACTACAATATTTGAGAATTGGATACAGTGATCTGTAATCTGAAAGAGTGATGTTTCATACATATGTAAATTTCTGAAGGTCATTTACAGAAAGGTTAAGTATCTGAAGGACCCTACCATTATTAAAATTCAGACTGTCTTCGTGAGAACAGTTTCCAATTAAGCAATGGGAAAATGCATCTGCTACAATTCTCCCCTTCCTTTACTCCCACCTCCCAATTTCCTTTAGGAAGAAAGAACTGCATGTAGTTTTTGTTGTTTTTTTTTCCAAAGTCTTAAAATAAAAATCCCCTAAAAAGGGATCCGGCTTTTAAAACCTTTTAGAGTTGTTTAGGGAAAAAAAATGCATAAAGAGCCAAGCGCTCATATTCTGGCCAAGTTATGAGCTTCTGAGAACAAGAGCTTGAGGGGAAGGCTGTTAACTCTTTCCCAGCAGGTTCGCACTGCTCGTAAAGCTCATCGCGCCCTCAGCAAGAGGGCCAGCCTGCCAGAGAACTGCAGGACTCTGCAACAAAAACGATGACAGTCTAAAATACGCCCTGTGCTAACTTCCGAACTGATCTGTCACCTCAGACTCTGCCTCGTTGACCGAGCAGCAGAATTTCAACTCCAATTAGCTCAAATGTGTTTCTGGGCAAAGAAGCAAAGCTAACGAAAGAAGAGATTTAAAGAGTATTGGGTATTTGTCAAACTTTTATTCTGTGGCTGTGTGCAAGGAGGGGATTCGACTTCCATTTTCTGCCAAGGCTCTGGGTCCAGCCACCTACCAGAAGGTAAATTTTAATCAGTTTACTGTATCATCTAATTGCATTTGCTTAACTGATTTGCATGATCTGATAAAGATATCTAAGATTTTTGCCTAATACAAAACTATTCATTTATTTTCTTTAAATCCTTTTGTATGATTTATAGAAAAGCTACTTAATAGGGAATTTTAACCCCTGTGTCATGTTTCCTTTCCTCCTCCAAGATTAAGTAGTAATTACTAGTAAATGATGGTTTCAGTGTAGAGCAAGAACACAAATGTAGAACTACTGTCAGCTGGAATTGCATTCAGATCTTGGTTAAATCTAAATCCTGAACTATGTTTTGTAGAAATACTTTACTAATTATATTAAATAAATATAATGAAAGTAGTTTTAAAAAACTTTCAAATCTATGTAGCGTGTGTGTTTTCCATGCCTAAATCACGTGAAGTTATTCAGTCACCACTGTTGCCCCGGTCTGTGCCTCACAACAATGTAGAAATGGAACATTTTGCTTTCCCAAAAGGTAGAAACACCCCTAGTACTATATTCTTCTGTGATTATTCTTTAGTTATTGTGACTGTTATTCCTTTACTGGTTCCCTTTTATAGTTTTATGACTTTCTCCTGTCTCCTATCATTTTAAAGGTATTCATAAAGATATGTAAAATTTCTCTAATTCCTAATTAGGTCTTATTTATGAAGGGGAAAAAAAGGAAGGGTACTCAAATTGCTAAAGAGATGATTATAACTCATACCATAAGCTACGATCATTTCTGGCTCTATCTTCTAAAATGAAATAAAAAAATAATGCAAGTCATGCTTATTCATTCCTCCAGGTATTAGAAGTCACCCTGCAGGAGAAAACCATGCTTTCTACTGCAGCTTAATACTGTTGATACTATAACCAAGAGGTACTGCAGAAAGAGAATCTTTCTTGTACAGCCTTTCATCTGCAAGGAGGTTAAATATGTCACCTTGGCATTGTAGCTGAGCTGTTTTCTGGCCCAGGGCCTAAGTACACTGAATAGAAATGTTCACTCGTCCCACTCAGCAGAAATCCTTTTTTAAAAATTGCCCCTTTCTTATGAATACTAGCTTTATTCAGTTCACAGCTTTTTCAGCTAAACTTTGATAGTTGTGCCCATTGTTAACTATGATTACTTACAAAAAAAAGGACACCCATCTTAGGCAAGATTTAAGTACACATTTCTGTTCATTCAACAAGATCTAGCAAAGCCAAGCCATCTGTTTTACCTACTTATCATCCAATCAACTAATGCTGCTTTCTACATTTTGAAAAAGAATATGTACATGTTATTAATAAATCTTGCCTTTTCTCTTTCAGGAAATTTTGTACAGCCATTTAGCAATTAGAGTACTGGGTTTCCTTTCCAGGTCCTGTGGGATTTAATCCCAATAGTTTCTCACATGCAGTTTCACTTATCAACTAAGTAAAAATAATAAAAGGTGATGACAAAATAAAATGAATAGTCATGTATCTGGCCAACTCCAGAACATTATTCATTTTATTTTCCTCTTGACCACTTGTTATTTTTATTCAGTTGATTTGTAAGAATATGCAAACACTGCTGTTTTAGGGAAGTTTAGCATGATGTCCAGAACATGTTGCGAATCTTCTTCCACCAAGGACATAAACAAGTATTGTTAAAAAAACTTCAGGTGCCCTTTTCCTTCACACATCATTCTGCAACAGCTTTTCGTGAAGGAGAAGGGAGCCCCATAAATCCACGGGAATTTCCCCAGTAGACCTGGCTGCTCAAGAGATGCCCAACTAGCCTGGGGTCTGGTTCGTGCAGGGCCCACAGGTCATCTTACCCTAAGAGCTTTGTTCTGGGCATCAAAATGTAGACAGAATCCTGGGAAACAGAGTGACTGTAGGGAGGTGGTGCAATAAAGTGCCTAAGATCGGGGGCTCTGGAAGCATACAGACCTGGTTTACAACTGGGCTTCATAGACTCTGGAAAACGACTCTTTGAGCCTCAGTTTCCTCATTTGTTGCAAATGGGGATCATAAAATTAGCTGCTACCACAGAGGCGTGTTGTAAAAATTAAGTGAAAAAAACAGCTATGCCAGGTATATGAAGCAATCAATCGATCATAGCTAGTATTAAAGCACCAGCCTACCTATATGTCCTTATTGAAACTCTGTAGGAGGGAATTCACTCCAGTTTTTCCCTCAAGGTTTCTTCCTTATACTTACAGCTTTGCTGTATAACAGAATGTCAGTGCCCGGTCTCTGCCTCAGAGTCAGCACAGCAAGGTGGACAGAGCATGGGTTTCAGACCCTAACACCCTTGGGTTTGAATCCTGACCCTGCCTCTTACAGGTTGTGTGGTTAAGGCAGCTACTCAGACCTCCAGGACTCAGTTTACCCATTTATTAAGCAAATAGTGACACTATTACCCACAAATGGGGTTGTTGTAGAAATTAAATGATTTTTTTTTCTAATGCTAAGTATAGCAACTGGCAGAGTACTGAACACACAGTGAGAAAGTATTTGGCTATTCACTTAGAATGATTTTTTTGGTATTAAAATTGGCAATCAGGAAGGAAATAGCCTTTAAATTAATTATCTTTTTTATCGAAAGAAATGAAAAAATAAATCTGATACTACTGCATTCCCTCAGGGGCCTCAGCATGAAGTATTTGTTACTGCGAGTATGCTTCATCAATTAGTTGCCAAGTCAAATGAAACCAGAGCGTTTTCTGTTTCAGATTGCCGTTAAGGAAAATGAGAAGAAATGCTGCTCTGCAGTCAATTCTCTTTGATTGGCCTACTTGGACAGGGGAGAAGGCCCCCAGCATTTCCCCTTTCTAATCTTTTCTAAAGGAAAGAATAGGGGTTTTGACTTGCTCTAAGGGGTATTTTCCCTCTCTAAGTGAAATTCAAATGAGAGGGTTTGTTTTTTGGTTTTTGTTTTTGCAAACCTCTCCCCTATGTTCCTGTCATTGAAATGTCAGCTGCTTTTTCTGGCTACACGTAGCAGGAGCAGCCTGTCGTCATAGCAATGAAAGGGTATAGAGGGACTCAAGTTTCATGACCCACTCTGTGAAATAACTCTTAATCTGCTTTAAAATCCTTCTTCAGAAATGAAATCTCTAGTCCTGGCTTGTTTCCTTCCTATTATGCAACCAACTTATGTATACCAATTGCAGTAGCTAAATGTCTTCTTTAAAGGCTCAATGAATAGATGTTAAGAAAATGAACAAGGAAACTACTAGCATGGTGACCAGCTTATTGTGTAGTACAGGGGAAAAACAACTAAAAAGGCAAGGAAAAAGAAATAGAAATGACCTCACTTCATAGCACACACTTCACACCCAAAACACATCTGTTTTGCAAGTTCCCGTTGCCTCCTCCCAACCTCGCGATGTGCAACAGATACTGTAGTGGTTATCGAGGGGGATTCCGGAGCAGGCGGCCTGGACTCTGGTCCCAGCACTCAAAACGTCCTAATTGTTTTGTTCTTTTATCTTATCCACTTTTTGCCTCCACCTTCTAATATTTAAAATAGAAATGATAATAATAGTCATAAAATTGTCTTGGGAATTGAATGAGATACTGTATGTAAGTCTCTTATTATACCATCTGACCAGTGGTAATGGTTGGCTGTTAAGCCCGACAAACTTCAGTTTCCCCTTATTGTTAAATGGAGAAAACAGCAAATGCATGAGATTGTTGGAAGATTAACTGAAATAATGACTATAAGTGCTCAATAAGTAGTTCTTTTAATATTTTTCATAAAAGGTCTAACTCTAATTAAAGAATGGCTTTTTTTCAGTTTTGAATCTCCCAGTAATGAACTAAGGCCTCTGAGGTATTATTGTGTAAACATGAACCACTGATTTACTAAAGAGGAAAAAAAGAAAAGGAATAAGGCTTTTTACATTTATAATGACTAAAGAAGATTCTTGATTAACAGTAGGGCAAAATGTATTAACACATCTTATCTTTCATTAAAATGTTTTTCATTAAAGTTTCTGTTTTAGTTTCTCCAGTGTTTTCTGGGTCATGCAATTATGTAAATAAGTACTATTTTAATGTTATGTATCAAACAACTAATGTATTCAATGTTCTATCTTAGGCAAAATGCCAGAGACACTAAAAGGAGCAAAACTAGAGAGGGGCTGTGATCTTGTAGTTAGGGAGAAAGTCATTAATCACATCATCGCATTAATACAAAGTGTATATGCTCAAACATAAAGTGACCTCGTTACAAAGCCCTCTTCATTTCTGTAATGAAAAGTCCTCAGCCAAAGTCTTTAGCCAACCGAAATGCACAGGTGGATAATATAATATATATATTCAGGATACTTACTCTGTTGTCATACATGCATATTTTGAAATCTCATTTTATTGTAAGTATTTTTTACTTATAAAAATGACTTCTTCCCATAGTTCATGAAACAATTTTGTTAAACCTTTCCATATGCATCTTTAACATCAGGGCCTGTGTGCACTGCATCCGCTCTGTAATCATCTACTGCAGAGTGCACCATCAAGCCTCCAAATGTTGTTTACAGCACACTTCTGAAAAATCTGCTGATGCTGCACATGTGATCCCTGGGCAGGAATTCTCATTCTGTGGTGACGATCTCTACATGTTAATTACTTACTATATTCTTTTTACCAATGCTCTTTAAATGGCTTATTTGAAACCACTTTAGTCTGTGGAGTGTGGCTTTCTAAAATTGTTCTGTTCCAACATTTGCAATGAAGTCATACCTCAGGAATAATTACTAAATCTGCTTTTAATATCTTTGTCTTCTTTTGTATTGTCAAGGTGAACTTAAAAACAAAAATAAGTATTGCGTAAGGTCATCCGAGGCTCTTTTCTTGAAATGGTACTTTATTGTTCAAAATGAAATAATTGAGAAAATGACCTTTAATATGCGAGACCTCAGAATTACTGGAATATAAATTAAATCCCTCTTTTTTATAGCATGATGTTAGGGGGTAAAAAATTCAAATAATATTCAACATGTATCGTACATAGTTATACA